TAGTGGAAAGGAGATTACCTTCAACTGTGAGGATGTGATGGGTTTTAAATATCTTGTTTCTTGTTTTATGTGAAAATGTTATTTGTTGCACACGTTCTAGTCATAGCATAGGAATTTTTGTTTACATAAGAAACAGATGTTGAATTAATGGCCACTGAATAACTTTGACATTCCAGAAAATGCATTTATTTATTCAGGGGTTAAGTCTTTAGCACCTTTTCATGTACCCCAGTTCAGTAAGCATAGTCCTAGAGTAATAAGGGATATTTACCCAACGCAGTTTTTAATTTAATTTTTTTTAAGATTTTGTTTATTTATTTTGAGAGAGAGCACACAAGCAGGGGGGAGGGGCAGAGGCAGAGAGAGAAGCAGACTCCCTGCTGAGCAGGGAGCCCGATGTGGGGCTCGATCCCAGCACTCTGGGATCATGACCTTAGCTGAAGGCAGAGGCTTAACCAGCTGAGCCACCCAGGCGCCCCACCCAGTGCAGTTTTATTGTCCACCTCAGGAAAATTGCTTAGAGGTTTCCATATATGAGTGGCATCATCAAAATCTCAGTCACCTGGATGAACTCTACAGAGCAAATAGTGTCTTGGAGGGGATTGAGGAAAGGGAAGCAGTCACCATAGTGATCAGTTTCCAAGTGTTTGCTCAAACTAAAACCCTGCCCAACAAATTACTACATTGTTTGTCTTAATGGTTACATTACATCATCACAGAAGTCATTTGACAAATTGGTCATTGTTCTTCAAGAGCTCGTCTAGTAAGCTTTGTAGGCCGGTAAGTGAGTCAAACTCATTGGGTAGGGAAATAACTTAAGAGGCAGGACTGGCCCTAGAGATGTCCTGCTTTTAAAAATTATCCAGTCAGAGCGTTACCATAACAAAAGAATATCTAACTTTATAAAAATGTTAAATTACTATGGCATTTTAAAAATATGACGTGTATGAATTAATTGCAATTACAATAAATTAGTTATAATTTAAAAATTAATAGCCTTTAAAACCATTGTTTGAAGCCGTACACACAGAGACAGCATAGATATCTATAAACAAATAGTAAAAGCCTCTACCCCGTGCCCTACATAAATAACATAAACCATTATCAGTGTGTGTTTTTCCAGATGTTTTCTTGCAGTACAGGGACAGATATATACATATATAACTAGTCTATCTATTTTACAAAAATTCACAAGACATGTTCTACAGTTTGCTTTTTTTCACTCAACAACATCTGGGAAAAACTTTTTCATGAGAGCCTCACATTTTATTAACTATGATTCAGTTGATCAGTTATTTATAATTTTTCACCCTTCCAAATCCCACCGTTTTCATTTATCCTGTATTTCTCATTCATGAGATGATTAGAAATATCATTTGAAGTATTCTTAGACATCAGTGCAAATCCTTTCGACATGGAATAAAATTCATGATAAATCATTTCCAATTTGGACATTATTGGAGAGGGATTAATCACAAAAGATTATTATTAAGTGGTTTCATCCAAAAACTGTTTCACTGATGTATTCCAAGGATACTGTAGATCCATTTCCATGTACTTGATAAACCAGGTTAACCTCCAAAGGAGAGAGGGGGAGAAAGTCTAAGGTTAGTATTTTGAAGAAAGATAATATCTTACTTTCAAATGAGTCTTTAGGAAAAAACAAAGGCAATTAAAAATATTTTCTATCTACACTGGGTTGTGAGCCATACATGTCTTATTAACTTTTTGAAGAGTTGTCAGTTGACATTCAAAGTAAGGAGATCCTTTTGATTCACTTCTGTTCAACAGTGGCTTTAGAACTATTTTGGGATGTGAAAAACTTTGACCTATGCTGGTTCTTTCTTGATGAAGGGAATCATCATCGTCGCTATTATGTTACAGTGTGCGTTCTTAAAAGTAAATTGAGCCACCTCTGGGCCACTGGACCAGAGTGGGTTGGCCCCCAACAGTGAACAGACTAAACTCTAGCTTTAGTCCAAGAATATGGAAACTGACAACAAATTATTACTTGTGGTCCACTTCCAGTTTTCAAGTGCAAACATACCAAAGTTTACTTTAAATTTGAGCCAGTCAGACATTTAGTAATATACATCAAAGAAGAAGTGAAGGCTTCCCATGTTTATTATTTCAATATGATGTCTGTTCTAATAAAGTAGAAGAATGTGTATGATAGACCATGTAGTAGGAATTCTCTGGTTCTACAGTTAGGCCTTAAATATATACATGTATTTGTAAATTAATCCAAAACACATTGCCACGGTTCCAGTTCCTCTGAAAGCTGATTGTTTTCTATCCCTTTTTAAATTTTAGAAATACAGTGGCTGACTGCCAGAACACTTTCAGATAAACAGTCCACTCCATGTATAAAAGGGGCATAGAATCACGAATGTTCAAAAACCACAGAACGTTATTTAAATAAGTTAAAGTTATTATGGTCTTCCCTATTAATTAAAAAAAAAAAAAGCCATCTGTGCAAGGTGAATTTTGGTAAGGTCCCAATTTTTTTAATGATTGAGGATGGAATTTGCAACTGCTTCTCATAGTGGAATGAAAGTACGGCTCAGGGATTCCCAA